CTTTCCAATCCAAACCATTCAATGATTTTAAGTCATAATATCACCAGAGAGAGGCCAAGTTCAGAGCATATGTCAAACAGATTAATGAACTGTAGACTAATGAACTATCTACAGGCCTTCTGAGATGCACAAACATCTGCAATTTCGGTACGTTGAGAAACCCAGGAAAGAGATTAGTGGACTCTACACATTTCAAATGAGGGCTAAGTCAAATTCTTGATGTTGTATGAGGGTTTTGTACTTCACCTGACTGACAGCAAAATCTATGGCGAGTTTGACATTTGAGGTTTCAATTCAGCACTTATGAAAGCATCTATAAAAAACATCTCCACGTCCAAAAATAAATGCTCTCGCTCAGCAGAAAGTGTGAAGTGGGCTATAACTGGACTTGGTAGAAGAAACTTAAACATTGAACTGGGAACAAAGACAATATTCAGTCCAAGTAGAAGTGTTTTAATTAAGTTATTAACCCTTCAAAACATGTGCATGGAAGCAGGGGCTGGATAAAGAGTAGCTTGATAGAGAGCAACACCACAAATCCAAGTATCATAGAATCATTAAGGTTGGAAAAGACCTTGAAGATCAACTCCAACCATCACCCAACACTACCATGACCATTGAAACCATGTCTCCAAGGGCCACATCTATATGTTTTTTGAGCCCCTCCAGGGATGGGGACTCCACCACCTCCCTGGGCAGCCTGGGCCAATGCCTCAGCGCTCTGGCAGTAAAAAAATGATTCCAAACACCCAACCTAAACCTCCCCTGGTGCAACTTGAGCCCATTTCCTCTCGTCCTATTGCTAGTTATTTGGGAGAAGAGACCCGAGTACCATCAGTTTGAGAGGATGAGTCACTCAGGAGCTCAAGAGATGAATGTCACTGGCACTGGGACAAAGCCCAGCAGCGTGTCACCTACCACGTAAGTACTGACGGTCTCGGTCACCACGCTCCTGACCGGGGCTTTGGAGCCTCCAGCTGCTGAGATGGCTGGAGAGGGCGGTGGGATGAGGGCAGGTGAGACAGTAGGTTGTGGAGGAGGAGGAGCTGGAGCTGGAGGAGGGGTGACGTGGACAGGAGCTGGCACGGGTGACGGCACTGGTGGAGGTGTTTTGGGCCGGCTCACTGGGGTTGAAGGTTTGGCCTCTGGAGCTGGCACCACTTTGCTGATGACTCTGCAGGACCAAAGAGGAGAATCGTTAGAGTAGGTGGGAGAGAAAGCAAGGGTCCATCATTGACTAGATAGAAAACACAGTGCAGCTAGTTCCCACCACCTCTGAGTCAGCAGTGAGGCTGTTTCAGCCCAGCACGGGGCCTGTTGCCACTGCTACAGACCCCTTGGGCAGGATGAGGCCCTGAGCCACCACGAGGGGACCACCCCACACCTTGCTGTCCTATAAACACTCTCTGTGCCTTTACTAAACCTGGTTTCGTTAAGTTTTATTACATTAGCTCCATTTGTGGGAAATATTAGAAAGGAAAGTTAATCAGCTGTGAACAGCCCTGATTTTAATCTTCGAACCGAGAGACGATATCATCCTCTTAAGATCCTACATTAGGGGGTTCTCCAAATATTTGCTGGTTTGGTATTTCTTTCCCCAGATGTTTATGAAATCAGCAGTGGATCCAGGCAGGACAAATAAATGACGCACACTATACACTCAGCAGTTAAAATATTGCTACTTACTCGAGTAGCTGAAGTAGACAGGATGTAGCTCTAGTAAATACACAGTATAGAATAATCTTGCCCAGGAAGGGGGATACATAGAGGACCCAACGTTTATTAATGAATGTTGATACACAGTGTGATTGATGTGTATGCAGTTTAACAGACAAGGCAGAAAAAGCCCTTACTATAAGGCTGAAGATTAGAAACAGAGAGAAGGAAAAGGATGTTTCTGAAAGCAGAACAAAAAATACCTCAAATAAAACACAGGAGAGGTCTATTTGTTTTACCACATTTTGGTAAATCATTTAACTTATTTATGTTTGACTGGCAGCTGTGGGAGTGCAATTGATTTGTGATGGGACTGTAGGAAGAAGGAGATTTAAAGGTTAGACATTCCACAGAGGAGGGTATCTTAAGAAAGCAAAAATACAGAGACATCAGTAAGAAAATCATGAAGAAAATCAAATTCCAAAGCTCCTGAGAACCAGGCAAGTCCAGCTCCACCATAGATGGGAATTCTACATGCAACTTTGGGGTTTACTGAAATTCTCTTATGATACTCTAAAGGCAGAACCACTGTGGTAGGAGGCACTGCCTGCATTTCAAGTCAATAATCCAAGCCATCTTTTGAGAAAGGCTGGGAATTATACCATAGTCAATGCCTGGCTGAGATAATAGTCTTCTTCCAAGATTGTTGAATGATAAAATTGCCTTTGTTGAAAAAGACCTCTTTAAGATCATGGAGTCCAACTGTTAACCCAGCACTGCCAGGTCACCACTAAGCCATGTCCCTCAGCACCACATCTCCACAGCTTGGAAACCCCTCCAGGGATGGGGACTCTACCACTACCTCTCTCAGACCTTGACGACCCTTTCAGGGAAGACACCGTTCCTCATGTTCAACCTAAACCTCTCATGGTGCAGCTTGAGGCCATTTCCTCTTGTCCTGTTGCTTGTTCCTTGGGAGAAGAGACCAACCCCCACCTGGCTCCAACCTCCTTTCAGGGAGTTTTGGAGCAAGAAGGTCGCCCCTGAGCCTCCATTTCTCCAGGCTCAATGATCCCAGTTCCCTCAGCTGCTCTTCACAAGGCTTGTGCTCTAGACCCTTCACACCCGTATCACATACATGCCACTTGCACTACTAAGTCACAACTATAGCAAGTTGTAGTAAAACCAGACTTAGTAAAAGGGAACAGAGCAATGGGTTTGGTATTTCTGCCTAATGTGCCAACTGTAGCATCACACCTACCTTCCCAGACCTACCATGAGTGACTAGAGGAAGAAAACCAGACCCAAGGAAGTTAAGCTTAGAGTGGTGCAGAATCTAAAAGGTGTTAGGTGATATTCCATCAGTAACACTGAAGACAGTCACACCCCTTGATGTCCTAGGGATTGCTTCAGGTACCTAATCTGGGAGCTCAGGCTCTTTGCAAGGTGCTGGACTGTGAGTCCAAGTACAGGACTCATTTATGTTGCCTGTGACTTGTAGTAGGAAGAAAGTTCTACTGTCAGCCCACCCTGGGAGCAACCTACACATCAAATCCAACCTCCTTCTCCTATTAGTGGGGTACATCTGAAAACTCACTGTTATTTCCCACCAAGAAAGTTTTCTCCTTGGCTCTTGCACATCCAGGATGTGTTCTTGGCCCAATGGAAGTCGTAGCATATGGCTCCCCAGGGCACCTGCCAAACTGGCCACCCCAACTCAGATGATTCTTCTGTGCCTGCCTCCTTCCACCACTCCCACAGAGAGCCCTGGCTTCCAATGCTGAACACCTAAGACCCTGACTGGTGGCAATACTCTGATGTGCAAAGTCACCCTCATGACTTAGAGAGCCACCTTTCAACAAAAAAAAACCTTAGCAATTACAAAAGCCAGGAGAAGGACAGACAGCAGAAATTTTTGTCACAGCAGAAGTCATTTGGACAGTTTCAAACTCAGCTACCCCTCCTTTCCTTGCCTCCCTCTTCCACCCCTGGCAAGCAAACAAAGCCCTGCTATGAGTTCTTCAAGGAGCTGACCCTCCCCGAGTCTAGACTAGGAATTAGCTGATAGGATTTTAAACCTAACTCTGCACACAGAGTAAACAGTTTTAAGGTATTAGCTAATACCATTTGAATAAAAGTGACCATGCCCAGCTAACATATGAAATTAAATTACATGGTTTCTTGGGCTAGATAAAGTCAAGTTCTCCTCCTGAACAGGGTCTTTGAAGCCACTTTGCTACTAGATGCAGAAGCTACATGGAACATCACATATTAAATCTTCCAAAACTACAAATATTCATTAGCGGGCGACACACGCTCATTGATTGGCTGCTTTGCTTGAAGTGTGTAATTAGGACATGTTCAGTATATAGGGCAGCTTGTTTATCTTGATTTTAGAGCTCAGTTATCAAAAGACGAGATCGGCATTTTGGAGCACGCTTGAGCCTACCACTCCCTTGGGCTAATGAAGTTCTGAGACTTTCAACTCCAGAGTGGAGAAACTAATGGCTTTGTGCTACACCATAGCAGGTGATGGGGAGGTTTCAGCCATCCTCCATCCTGAAGAAGGAGCTGCAGATATGGCAATAGGGGGAGAAATCGAAGGGAAACAGCAGTCCCACGACTAGCAGTTAATGTTTCTTCAGACTTGGAGAGAAATGTCATCTCAAAGCACTATGTAAATGATGGCAAGACTGATGAGCTCTGCTTTACAGACAGGAGGGGCACAGAGCACACTGCACACAGGCTGTACTCACTACAGCAAAGCTTTGACCCTCCCGGTACCTGGGTCCCTGCTAGGATTTAAACTCCACATCTGGACATCCCCAGAGGTATATTGTTACCTTCTTTCCCAAATGTGTCCTTCATAGGCTTCCAAAATCATCACTTCTATATTAAAATTCTACAATACTAACTATGACAAAATTTCACCTCCTTCCCCACCCCAATCCAAAATCTCTAAAACTGAGGCCGGGTTCCTATTTTTCAAAGTACTCAAACACAAATTAATGTCAACCACCATCAGCACACTCAGAGTCCTGAGCCAAGAATTAACCTTCTCTGCACGCTGCTTGCCTGACAATGTATCACAAACACATCTACCCCAAAAGGTAAAAAGTCAGGTAACAGTTGTTTTTGAATCAAAATGGTTCCCCTAGAATGAGCGGGTGTGAGAAAACCCTTGGAATAGATGTGGTAATAAGGGCTTCCATAAATCATAATTAAAGGTCACCACTCCCTTAAAGAAACTCCAGAATTAATGTAAACACTGTGTATCTGGTTGTGTCCAACCTGAATTCACCCATTTCCATCGTTTCCAGGGGGCAATTGTCCTGCTCACAGCCACAGACCCAAACCCAAACAGGGCGAAAATGAATCGTCGGCTTCCAGGCAAAGTGCAGATCCCCCCAGGATTCTCAGTGCTGCAACAGGTCAGTTGGTTTGTAATGGGCTCCAACTGGTGTGAGCTGTAACGTGCTACATCTGGAGCAAAATGGGGCTCCAAGGTGTGAAATGGTTTCCTATCTCTGGAAGGAATTTATCTGATTTTGTCCTGATCCTTACGGCTGGAAGCTGCACCGACTGCTTCCCATAAACACAGGGGAACTGTGCTGAAAGGAAATGGCTTTTCAGAAAGAGGATATGAGCTCCAGGGCTGAAGGATTGCTGTGGGTGATGAGCTCCAAAAAAAATGCTGCACTGGTACTTTGACAGGTCTAGCAAAAAAAGTCACAGCTATCTTTGTTTCTCAGAGGCAGAGCTCCAAAGAAGTCGTTTCTATGCTCAAAGGAAAAGCAACATTTGAAAAGTCCTTTTTTTTTGTCTGAACCCATGACCCATTTTTGAGCAAGGAGCAGGAGCCAAAGGGGTCTTTGTACAAAGGAAAATGACACCATCAACTGTACTGACAATTAAAACTAGTACAACTCATTTGGATTATTATGTTTTATTATTATCTGTTAGTATTGTTATTCCCTTATTGATATAAATTCCTTGACTTTAGACTGTTAGGGGGTGGAACTATCTCATTACTGAAAAATCTCACACCTGGAATTTGGATTGTGGCACCAGGAAAAAAATCAATACTCTCAGACCTATGGGTAAGAGCATCAAAAACACCCAGGGGAATGAGGAAGATTTCCATATGATTTAGATTCTTCACAGATTAGAGATGATTTTGAAAATTCTATTCCAACCCTGGAGGAGAATCAGAGTAATTTAAGTTCTGTAATGTAGGCTAATCCCCATATTACTTTTACAAAGAGAAATTTAGTTTTTATCTCTTATGCTTCGCTGAGTATTTTATTCTGTGCAAATAAGCTCCACAAACCCACCTTGTGACCAACTTGTGAGCTTGCAGAGTGCCAAAATGTATCAAACCTCCAGCAGACCCCCCAGCAGTTTTCCAAGTGAAAAGACTTCAGTACTTGAAATTAAAAACACATAAATATTTTCATGTGGTAAATTGCCTGCAACGTGATATTCTTCTCTGTCAAGGAAAATGAACTTTGAACACTT